GGTAGTGAGGTGAAACCTCATTGGAGCTTTGATTCACGTTTCCCTGATGGCTAGTGATCCTGAGCATCTTTTCAAGTGTCTGTTGCCCATTTGGATTTCCTCTTTTGAAAAATTCCTGTTCAAGTCCTTTGCCCATTTCTTGACTGGATTGTTCGTTTTGATGTTGCTGAGTTTCTTGAGCTCTCTATAAATTTTGGTTATTAATTCTTTATCAGTTGCATAGTTTGCAAATATTTTCTCCCATTCTGTTGGTTGCCTCTTCACTTTGCTCAGTGTTTCTTTTGCAGTGCAGAAGAAAAAAACAACTGTGTTTTTGTCAGTACCAGGCTGCTTTGATGATAACTGATCTGTAGTATATCTTGAAATCTGGTATTGTCATGCCTCTGACTTTGTATTTGTTGTATAAGATTGCTTTAGCTATTTGGAATCTCCTGTGCTTCAATATTAGTTTCAGCATTGTTTCTTTTTTTCCAGATCTGAGAAGAATGTCATTGGTATTTTAATTGGCATTGCATTGAATCTGTAAATTGCTTTCAGTAGTATGGACATTTGGATATTGATTATTCCAATTCATGAACGTGGAAGACTTTTCCATTTTTGTTTATTCTCCTATTTCTTTCTTTAATGGTTTTTAATTTTCATCATGGAGATATTTGATATTCTTGGTTGAATTTATTCCAAGGTATTTAACATTTTTGTAGCTATTGTGAATGGGACTGATCTTAGAAATTCTTCCTCAGCCATGGCACTGGCTGTGTATACAAATACTATTAATTTCTATGTGTTAATTTTATATGCTGAAACTTTACCAAACTCTTTTATGAGTTCCAGTTGTCTCTTGGTGGAGTCCTTTGCACCCCCTATATATAGAATCATGTCACCTGCAAGCAGGGATGCTTTGAATACCTCCTTCCCAATTTGTAGCTCTTTGATTTCTTTTTCTTGTCTAATGCCTCTGGCTAAAACTTCCAGAACTATATTGAATAGCAAAGGTGAGAGTGGGCATCCATGTCAGTTCCAGATTTTAGTGGGAATTCTTCAATATTCTCCCTATTCAATAAGATACTGGCCATGGGTTTGTCATAAATTGCCCTATTATATTGAGGAATGTCCATTCTATACCCAATTTACTTAAGGTTTTCATCATGAAAGGATGTTGAATTTTATCAAATGTGTCTCTGAGTCTATTGAGATAATCATGTTTTTTTCCCTTCAGTCTGTTAATGTGATATATCACATTGATTAATTTGTGAGTGTTGGATCATCCCTGCATCCCAGGGGTAAATCCCACTTGGTCTGGGTGAATAATCTTTCTGATGTGTTGTAGGATTTGATTGACTAGTATTTTGTTGAGCATTTTTGCATCTATGTTCATCAGGGAAATTGGTTTACAGTTCTTTTTATCTGTTTTACCTTTTTCTGGTTTAGGAGTTAAAGTGATGCTGGCTCCATAGAAGGAGTTTGTCAGAATTCCTTCCCTTTCAATTGTTTTGAGTAGCTTGAGAAGAATTAGAGTTAATTCTTTAAATGTCTAGTAGAAATCTGCAGTGAAGCCATCCAGTGCTTTGCTTTCTTTATGTTGGGATGGTCTTTATAACTGACTCAATGATTATTGGTTTGTTTAGGTCTTCTATGTCTTCATGGCTCAATTTTGGTAGGCTGTATGTATCCAGAAATCTATCCATTTCTGCTAGGTTTCTCTAATGTCTGAGGATTATTTTTAATCCCGTGTTATCAGAATGTATGATTCTAAGAATTTGATTTGGGTTATTACATTTTTGGCATTTAGTTTATTAGAATTTTTTTTGCCAATTTCCTCCTATTATTAAAAGATGGGTATTGAAGTTTCCTACAAATATTATTGTGGTCAGTTTCTTCCTTCAATTATGTCATTGTGTTTTGTATATTGTGTATATTTTGCATATTTTGTAATACTGATGTTTATTGTACAAATGTTTTTATTAGTTATATTATTAACTAGTTGACCCATTTAAAATGATCTCCCTTTAATCTATTATCAAGTTTTAAAATTTTGGTTTATTCATTTGAGAGAAAAAGTGTTTCCATCACCTAGTTTTACTCACCAAATTTCTGGAATGGCTGGGGGGGTTGATTCCAGGAGAAATTTCTCAATCCAGAGTTTCTACAAGGGTGGCAGGAACTCCATGACCTGAGCTGTCAACATTGCCTCACAATGTCTGCATTAGCAGAAAACCAAGATCAGAAACTGGGACCTGGGGTAAAACTCAGGTGTGCTGTCACAGAACACGGTCATCCTAACATCTTAACCACTAGGTCAAACAGCCACTCCTCATGTCACTGTTTTTTTTTTTTTTAATATTTATTTATTTTATTTGAAAGTCAGAGTTACAGAGAGAAAGGAGAGGCAGAGAGAGAGATAGGTCTTCCATCTGATGGTTCACTCCCCAATTGGCTGCAATGGCCAGAGCTGTGTTGATCTGAAACCAGGAGCCAGGAGCTTCATCTGGGTCTCCCATGTGGGTGCAGGGGCCCAAGCACTAGGGCCATCTTCTACTGCTTTCCCAGGCCATAGCGGAGAGCTGGATCAGAAGGGGAGCAGCAGAGACTAGAATCAGCACCCAAATGGGATGCCGGCACTTAAAGCCTGGGCGTTAACCCACTGTGCCACAGCACTGGCCCTATGTCACTGTTTTTGACATAGAAGTTATACCAATGTACATTAAATTTATCAGTTTCACTTGAATAACAAATTAAAAAATCTCTGCTTCTTTATAACTCTTCCTTCCATCACTTTATGTTACTGATTAGAGCTTTATCCATTATAAACATATTAAAATAGGTTTCTGCTTATTTGTATGAATTTATATTTCAATACTTGAAAGAAAAAAGATAAAGTGATGCATTCCAAAGTATATACTTTACCCATGGCTATATATTTGGCCTTTAGTGGATGCCTTTCTAACTTTATATTGTATTGAGTTACTGTCCGGCATCCTTTCATTCAACCTTTTTAACTCCCTTTGACATTTCTTGTATGGCAATTCCAGTGCTAATTAGTTGTTTTGACTTTGTTTATCTGAGATCATCTCAATAACTCCACCTTCATTTAAAAATATTATTTTATTTATATGAGAGGCAAGCAGGTGACTGAAACAGAGACAGAGATTTTCCATCCATTGGTTCACTCTACAAATGCCTGTAACAGCTGGTGTGGGGCCAAGCCAAAGTCAAGAGGAGGGATTCAATCGTGTTCTGCCACATGAATGCAGGGACTCAACTACCTGCACCATAAACTGCTGCCTGCTAGGGAGTGTATTCACAGGAAGCTGGAATTGAGAGCAGATTCAAGACTCAAACCTAAACACTCTGACATAATTGTCCCAAATGGAGTTTTAACTACTACTCCAAGTGCCTGCCCATTTCTTCATTATTGAAGGATATTTTTGTGTACTATTAAGCTCCAGAATTTATATTTGGTTTCTTAGTTTATAATTTGCATATCTTAGTTATTCTTATTTTATTCATATATTACTTTCCTGATTTCTTGGTACTTTGCTCAGTTTTCACTTTTGTATTTGGCAAACTGTGTGTCATCAAGACAATTGTTTTAAAGTCTTTGCTACAAAGCCATCAGCCTCTATTTCTTCAGAAATGGTTTCTCAAATCTGTTTTAATCCTTATACTGATGTATAATTTAACATTTTTAATATTTACTTAACACTGGTATGTAATGACTTTGGAATATTTTGTCTTTTATACTAGTTGGTCTGACAGGTTTTATGTTTACAACATTTAAGAGTATCAAACACTTGAGACAATCAAATTTACTTAAAATCCTGAAAAAATGAGAATATGGAGTTAATATTCAGAGACGCATTTCTATAATCCAAATTACCAAATGTATGTTTTTGAGAGTTTTCTCCAAAATATACTCTGTTGTGTTTTTAATATATATTTTTAGGGGATACCAATTTTTAGCATTTCCCATATTTACTTGTTATGTAGATGTTATATGCATATATGTACACATAATATCACATAACCTGGAATTCTCTGTATCAGTCAACTAGTTGTTTCTCTGATTTCCTATGCAGGTACAGCCACAAGAAGCTCATTGCTTCTCATTTTAGAAACATGAACAGGGGCCAGCACCGTGGCTCACTTGGTTGATCTTCTGCCTGCAGTGCTGGCATCCCATATGGGCGCTGGGTTCTAGTCTCTGTTGCTCCTCTTCTCGTCCAGCTCTCTGCTGTGGCCTGGGAGGGCAGTGGAGGATGGCCCAAGTGCTTGGGCCCCTGCACCTGCATGGGAGACCAGGAGGAGACGCCTGGCTCCTGGCTTTGGATGGGTGCAGCGCCAGCCTTGGCAGCCATCTGGGGAGTGAACCAATGAAGGGAAGATCTTTCTCTCTGTTTCTCTCTCTCACTGTCTAACTCTACCTGTCAAAAAAAAGAAAGAAACAAACATGAACAGACTAAGCCTGAGTCTCAGCCCTGATTCTTTAATAAAATATACAGAGAGTTTTTATCAGTAGATATCATTATGAAGAATATTTGTCAATATCCCCAAGCAGAGATGTGCTCAACTTCCTCCTCCTCAATGTGCCCCATACCTGACCCCTAATCATGCTTCCAGGCTGGTTCCTCCTCTTCCATCACTGACTACCCTCGCCCCAGGGATCCCTGACACCTGAGTTCAGGAACTGATTCTTGAGCTGCTGTAAGGGAGCGCCTGCACTGTTGGTTATCCTTGCAGTATTGCCTCACCCTCATAGGCTCTGTGAAGTTAGAGTTCTTTTTTTTTTTTTTTTTTTTTTTTTTTTTTTTTTTGAAGCACTGCAGAAAAACTTAAAAAATCTTTTCTGTCATCCAGTCTGACAATTCTTCCTACTCCAAATCCCAGTCACATCTAAGGAATAGCTGTAACCATGTCACACTACAGGACTCCAATCTTCTAAGCAAATCAATGAGCAGGGGGAAGACTTAGGAGACAGAATGAAACAAATAAGTAACAGCATCTATGGTAGGTAAGCATCTTTAATAAAAAAAAAACATTATTTTATTTTTCAGAAAGTGACAGAAATGTAGTGCCAAGGCTTCTCACCCTGTGGATTTAGCTCTAGCTGAGTGTTAGTTGCTAATCAGCATGGATTAATCAGAAGAGAGGTGCCCATTCACCAGCATCTGAGATGGCTCCAGAATCATGATTCACAAGAAAGGGTCTTCTGGTAGAAGTCTGACAAAGGCTTCCATGTTAATATTCATCAGAAAATGGGTAATTTGGATGTCCAGTAGCACTAAAATTAGAAGAATATATAGTATAAACTCAATAAATACATTTCTGGTATAATAATGAAGTGATTTCTGTGAAATTATTATTAAAGATAATAGTTCCATTTTTGTAAAATCATAAAATCTGTCATATTCATGTGCATGCCTTTATAGTACATTTTAATCACATATAACTTTTTCAAACAATAATCTTTTACCTGGAATTAACATATAGAACACACAGAATAAAAATTTAATCACATTTCTCTCCTTTAGCTGCATATTTCAACAATGCAAAGTGATACTCATTGCTTTCTTACATCAAATTCTCAAGGAAGAAGGAAAGCAAAAATAATAGGGAGAGGGAAGGAGAGGGAGATTGGGAGGGAAGAAGGGAACATCATTATATACTTAGAAATGTATATATGAGCATACTGAATCTCTTTGTATTAATATTACATTAAAATAAAAACCTGAAGTGTCTGAAAAAAGCACACTTTCAAGCAAAATCTAATTTACTTTGTTTTGAAAACAGACACATTCAGATGCTATTCAATACTAAAAAAATTTCAGGGATATAGATTACTGTTAGCAATTTAACATCCCTTTTATTCTTTCTTTGTTTGCTCATTGCCCACCAGATGTGACACAGTGTATTAGATTAGGAACTGGAAAGAATGCTGTTGATAAGACAGAGTTCCTCGCCCATAGAGTTTCCTGCATAATTTACATATATCTATATTTTAGTGACTACAGAAAACACAATGTGTTAAAAATGAATACTTATTAGAATATTTAATAGAGAATAGGAATTATTCAGCTTGCCACTCCCTTTGTCTCTGCATTTTGTTTTTACTTCACTCTTCATTTTCCCTAATACTAATAAAAACCATAACAATCATAACATATGTGCCATTTTGAGTACATTAAATTTTGCATTATACTAATTTCTTCCTTTATCTTAATTATTACATTTATTAATATTACAAATTAAAAGTCCCACAGGTGTATATTCTTTGCTACCCTCAAATATAATATTTTTGTCAGATTCTAAAATCTTGCAGCAAGAAGAAGAATAAAGATCTCTTCTTTAGTGCAAATTCTCTCCTGTTACTGTTTTTTAGCATACTTCCCCAGTCCTTGATTTTAAATGTGCCTTTAAGACTTCATTAGCTGGGTTAAGAGGACCATATTTTAGAAAATCACAATGAAACATTTCTAAATGTTTCATTTAAACATTTAAAATATTTGGCCAGCTTTTTTCAATACAAATGCCATGATTGGTTCTTTAAGAAAAATGCAGTAAAAAGAAAGGGAGAAATTCCAAACTCTTAAAGGAATTAAGTTGAAAGGATTTACTGAAGAATTCCATATGGAGGTGATAAAAAAAATTCTATTTAGAACCAGAGATTAACCACATTGGTGATCAGCACAGTGCATGGTGAATAGCGACTAATATCCTTTTATATATTCATCCTCAGAAAATAAATTGAGGCAACATTTTTACCAAGGTCATCAATACTTACAAATCAGCAGTAATATATCGAACATTTCTGTTCAGGCCATCTAAGACCTTCATGTCATCTGGAGGCAATGTGAATTCAAATATCTATTAGAGAAATAGGAAAAGTTTATTATTTTCATTTGTCAATCTGGAAATCACAGTAAGTTATATCAAATAGTACAAAGAGAATACTTAAAATATCTGAAAAGTTTCCAAACATTTTGAGATATCATATCAAAAGATTTAAGTCATCTGTAAATACTGGATGAAAAATAAATACACATACACAGCCAACTCTTTTGACATAGGTGACAAAAACACGGATTGGAAAAAGATAGCCTTTTCAATAATGATGCCAGCAAAACTGGATATATACATGTGGAGAAATGGAATTAGATACCTACCTCTCATTGTATCCCAAAAACCAACTCAAGATGGATCAAATACTTAAATGTAAGACCTAAAGCTATGAAATTGCTAGAAGAAAACCCCGGACAAACATTTCAAAACACTGGTGTAAGTGATAACTTTTTGGATAAGACGCCAGAAGTGCAGGCAACACAAACAAAACCAAATAAGGGGATTACAAAAAAAAAAAAAAAAAAAAAAGAGAGAGAGAGAGAGAGAGAGACAACTGACAGGATGAGAGAAAATTAACAGTAACTTATCTGACAAAGGATTAATATCAAGAATATCAGCACTGTAAAACTCAACAACAACAAGAAGGCCAATCCAGTTAAGAAATGGGCAAAGTATCTAACTAGACGTTTCTCAAAAGAAGAAATAAAAAAATAACTAACAAATATGTGGAAAGTGCTCAGCATCTGTAGCCATCAGGGAAATGAAAATTGAAACCACAATGAAAAATCACGTCACCCTGTCAGAATGGTTATTATCAAAAAGAGAATAACAAGTGCTGATAAGTATAGAAAGAGGAACTTTTATACACTGTTGACAGAATGTAAATTTGTGCAGTCACTGTGGAAAACAGTATAGAGATTTCTTTAAAAACTAGAAATGTAACTGCCATGTGATCCAGCAATCCCACTACTGGGTATATATCCAAAATACATATACTGATTACATCAAAGAGATACCTGCTCCATCATATTTATAGCAGCACTATTCAAAATAGCCAGTAGCCAAGACATGGAATTAACCAAGCTGATCATCATCAGCTAAACGGATAAACAAAATGTGATAAATCTATTCAATGGAATACTACTCAGCATTAAAAAAGTATGAAATTTTGTCATTTGCAGAAAAATGGATAGAACTCAAGGACATCATGTTGAATGAAATATGTCAGACACAGAAAAATGAATGCCACATGTTCTCCTATATGTGTGGGAGCTAAATTTTCTTTAAAAATTCTGAACACAGAGTGTTAATTGCTAGAAACCAGAAGAAGTAGGAAGGATGAAAGGAGCTTGGATTAAAGAATAGGGAAAGCTGGATGTGATTTATTAATTGTGATAAATGTACCAAAATGAGATGTTAATAGGGGAAATGGGTGAGAGGCATATGAGAACTCATTGTATTACTACCTTACGATTTTTACTTGGGAGATATTTTAAAAATGCATTACTAGATATAATTTATTCAAATTATGCAACACTGCAGATAAAAGGAAATCTCAAAACCATCTAGAGATCAAAAAAGGCTGACATTATTTAAAAATGATAGGGCCATGTACTTACAAGACAGAAGAATCTAAAGGTAAACTTTGACATATATTAAATAATTTAGTAAAGTTAGTTGATACAGTTGAATTTTGTTATCCCATCAATGAAGAATTAGAATAAGAAAAAGTCCTTTCAACTGAACTTAAAACAAGAATTTCCCATATATAATGTTACTGTATTAAAAGGGCACAGGAACTTGCTTAAAGTGGATCTCACTGTCTGTATTAGAGGCACCCTAAACATCAAAGTGATGATTAAAATTTGCTAATGTAAGGGCTACTTATATGAATAAATAGTAATACCCCAAAATAATGATACAGAGAAAGAATTTAGAAGTCTCCAATGCAATAATTGATGAACTCAGATAATAAGTTTTCATTGTATAATTCTTTGAACTTTCCTGTACATTTGAAAATTCTCAAAACAGAAGGGAAACTATCAAAGGACTATCAGAATTATATTCTTTCTGGTTAAACCTGACAAAATACAGGCAAATGCCTTAATGGAGAAAATTATCAAATTTATTGAAATATACTAAAAGACCACCTAAATTACTGGAACTTTGTATACAGTAAACCTCAGCATTGTGAAGAAGTCAGTCCTAAGGATACGCATTGTGCACAGCAGTGAGAAGGCCCTTAGGACACCCACACCTCCTATCAAAAAGACACAGTTCTTGTTCCAGCACTAATTCAAATTCCAACTTCCTGCTAATTCACAACCTGGAAGGTAGTAAGTAATAGCCCAATTATTTGTGTCTCTGTCAGTCACATGGGAGATCAGGACTGAGTTCTAGGCTGCTGGCTTGGGCTGTCCCAGCTCAGGCCATCATGGGCATTTGTGAAGGTAATCAGTGGTTAGAAGATATTCTCTCTCTCTCTCTCTCTCTCCCTCCCTCCCTCCCCTCTCCCATCTTCCCTCTCTCTGCTTTTCAAGTATAAAATAAAGTTGACAATTCAAAAAAAGAAAAATATTTTAAAAACCACTTCTCTCAAAATGAATAGTTCAATGCAATATCAAGCAATGTGGTAAAGACTTACTCTATGAGGAAGTTGAAAACTGATTAAAATTTTATATAATTGACAAATCAGTAAAGAATAGCCAGGACAATTTTTTTTGAATATAAGAAGTTTGCAAATGTTTTACCATTCTGGAAAGCAAGATTGTACTTTCCAACATAATGAAGGCACTTGAAATAAGTAAATAAATCTGTTGAAAAGAAAAGTGAAGGGGTTGGCTTGTGGTACAGTGGCTTAAGCTGCCCCCTGGAGTTCTGACATCCCATATCACATTTGCAGTCGTCACTGTTCTTTTGCAATCCAGCTCCCTGCTAATGTGCCAAGGAAAGCAGCAGAAGATGGCTCAAGTTCTTGGGGCCCTACCACCCACGCAGGAGACCCCGTCAGATTTTCTGGCTTCTGCCCTTCAGTCTGGCCCAGGCTGGCCATTGCAGGCATTAGGGTATGAACCAGGGGATGGAAGATCTCTTTCCCTCTCCTCTGTCACAAATTTTTTTTAAAGAGGTGTTAAATCAGAAGTGTACTTATTCTTTTGGAAATCTCTGATACTCATTTAATGCATTTATTTATAAGAGAGAGAGAGAGAGAGAAATCTCCTATCTGGTAGTTCAATAGCCAAGGCTTGGCTAGGCAGAAGCCAGGAGCCTAAAACTCAATCTTGACGTCTTACATAGGTGGCAGTGATCCAAGTACTTGGTTCATCACTTGGAGTCGTCCAGGGTGTGCATTGATGTTAAGCTGGATCAGAAACAGAAAAAGGCATTCCTATATGGTCTGGCTGAATCCAAGCAGTGTCACAACAGTTAGACTAAATATTTCCCCTGATATTCTTTGTAAATATATATGTGCATATGTGTATGTAGAAGGAAATATAATATCACTTTCATAAGATAATGTAACAGGATATTGTCAGGTTCTCAATAGTGAAGAAGATATGACACACATCAGCCACAAACAAAGGATGTAGAAAAGTGTAGAAAGTTTTGATCATGGAAACATGCTATGGAGAGAATGACATCTTACAAAGAAGCACATGTGTGAAGGATACTCTGTGGGATCCTTGATGCCTCCAGACCCAGGCCCTCATCACCTGAATGTTCTCTTTGATCCGCTTCTCAGTGAAACTCTTGGCCAGGACCACAACCCCACGTTGCAGCTGGTAGCGAAGGGCAATCAGGGCTGGACTTCGCTTGTGCTTTTTTGCCAGGGCACCAATGACTGGATCTTCCAGGAGAACTGGGGAGCTCTGGTCCACCCTGGTAGAAGAGGCAGAAAAGCAAATTCCAGATGCTCAGCATTCAGTTTGTTAGGAGGCTTCCTGTGGGGAGCAACCCGGACTGGACTGAGTTACTGGAATTAAGACTTATTCTATGCATCTGCTCTCCCACAATATGGCGCTGGGAGAGGAGAAAACAGCTTCTACACAGCTGCCTCCAGTTCAACCAATAAACTGTAGGACCTACTCCTGATTGGAGGAGAGCAGCGTACTCGGCGTGTGGGCAGCCGAGTTAGGATTGGCGGAGGAGGACTATAAAGGAGGAGAGAGACGGCATGCACCAGGAACATCTAAGGGGAACATCTAGCTGAAGGAACACCTGTGCAGCCCCCGAGAGAGCCGGCCGGCGGTGTGCTGCTCCCCTGCGGAAGTGGGGAATGTGGCCAGGGGGAACTGCCCTTCCATGGAGGTGGAAGGGATAGTAGCCAACCCGGGAAGAACCAGCAGCAAACCCGGGAAGGGCCGAGCAGACGAAAGAACAGCGCAGGGTTTAGTGTCATTCCTCCACGAAGAGGGGGAGCGACAGCTTCCAAAAGAGAACAAAGGACCTACTATAGACCAGTGCTTCTTGAAAGAGGTCCATGGACCAGCAAAATCAGTATCATCAGATCTTGCTAGAAATGCAAATACTCCACTCTTTCTGAGCCAGTTGAGTTTCTACCATAAAACTGAGTATCGTATGACCAAAAATATTTCATCAACAGGGTATCTGAGGTCTGTTTTTGTTGTTACTTTACCACTTTGGTTCTCGGTGCGATCCCAGAGCACTGTAGGCAACCAGAACAATGCCTTTTGACTTGCAGAATTCCAGCAGTTTGCTCTGGTTGAGATAGGGGTGACATTCCACCTGTACATAGCCAAAATAGAAAATGGAAAAAAAAAAAAGATAAATGAAATGCTAATTTAATATGAATGGGAATGCTGCAGATAAAAGTAGCTGAATTGAAAAAAATTTAATTTAAACTGAAAGTATAAACATCAAGTAAAAATATTTTGAAAACAATGACTAAAATATTTTGTCTCCTGGGAAGGTATAAATATGACATTCCTGAGACAAAACAACTCTGTGGAAGAGATCTTGGCTGTTAAATCACATATTCCTTGAGGAGAGACATGATAAACACCAGATATTGGGGAAAAATGAAGAAACCACTCATTTGAGCCATAGAGATTCAACTGTGCCTGAGAGCAAAAGTTTTACGAAAACTCATTAAAGCATCTCTGAAAGATGAAAAAATCAACTTGATAGGAATATCACTGGTAACTTTTGGATAGATTTCAACATCAAAACACATAATGAGTAAAACCTATTATAACATTTAGAGTATACAAAAATCCATAGAAATGCTATACAGAACAGGAGATAGAGGAAATAGGAAGAGAAGGAGGCGGAGAGAGATGGAAACAATTAACTCCTGCTGATGGTACTTATTATGGTAACTTCTTTATAATAAAAGGAAGTTATTAAAGTTTACCCTGTCTCATAGACATAATTATACTTGACATGACTTAAAGTGCAGGAATTTTTACAGTACAATGCAAAGTAAGAAAAGTAGAAAGTGTAATTAAAATGTAAATAATTATTTACAAATCACAATGAAATAACTAACATGAAAACTCACCTGGTATATATAAAAATTTGTTATAGAATATCACTTCCTCTGTTGAATATTATTGTCTAACAGATTACAAAAATTACAGTGAGTGAAGTAATTATTCACAGAAAAAAGATCTGGCTCTTACTAGCTTAACCAAATGAATAGAAGTAGCATTGCTGGTTTTGGAAAAACTTGCAGATCTGTACCATGTACTACAGTACAATTTTAGGAACACAACATTCTAAGAACATTGTCCTCACAAAAAAAGATGTTTAAACTTAATGTAATAACACATCAGGGGCTGGCACTATGACGTAGTAAATAAAGCCACTGCCTACCGTGCCAGCATCCCATATGGGTGCTGGTTCGAGTGCTGGCTGCTCCACTTCTGATCCAGCTCCCTGCTTATGGCTTGGGAAATCAGCGAAAGATGGCCCAAGTGCTTAGGCCCTGCACCCATGTGTGAGATGTGGAAGAAGGTCCTGCCTCCTGGCATCGGATCACCCCAGCTCCAGTTATTGTGGCTATTTGGGGAGTGAGGCAGTGGATGGAAGACCTTTCTTTCTCTGCCTCTCCCTCTCTATATCTGTAAATCTGCCTGTCAAATAAATAATTAAAAAAAGAAAAGTATTCAAGTATAATCTCTGATTTACATAAAACCAGTTAATCTATTATTACAAGACAGCAATCTTTAGGAATTTTAGCAATTTTAAGAAAAAAATATTGCTGATTCTTCCAAGTGAAAAGAGCATAAGAAAAATGCCAAAAGTCCCTGTTTGAATTACTGCTTTGTGACACTGTGAATAGAATACAATCAAGGCAACAATGCAAATTTCTAATATGGACTGGATGTTAAATGATTGGAGAGTGTAATCGTTAACTTCTTTACAACCAATAATAAAACTATAACTATGTGGGACAGTATCTTCATATGCAGAAGATGCTTTCTGATGTCTGCAGGAATAAATAATAATGCTTACCTACCACATACTAACAAGAGGTTGAACAAAATATTGCATATATGCATATAAACATACTTATATATGCCCACTTATGTTGGACAGATGAAAATGTGTCAACAAGTTTGACTATAGGTGGAAAAAAGGAAAGAACTGCATTATTACATTAACTTTTCCCAATGTTTTGAAAGTTGTTATAATAAAAATTGGAATAAAGATAATATTGAAAGCCATATTGATTTTGTGATATTTATATTTGAAAATCAGGATGCTGCATCATTATATACCAAATTCATGGTATTTACTTGGTGACTCCAAGTTGCTGGAAGCTATGTTAGAACAGAAAACAAGGTATAGGATAGTTGTTCTTACACAGTAGATTTAATGGCAGAATGCAGGGAGGAGGTGCAGACTGAAATGGGCTTTAGAACAAGATGGGCTCTAGTTTTGCCAAAAAATCTCTGGTTATTGTTTCTGCCAGTTACTAGTATCATTATGAATAGGTAATTTCTTTTCTCTTCTACATATTATCATAGGCTCCAGTTAATATTTTCTGGATTCATGGTTCTGTTCAAGACACCTGAAAGCAGATACCAAAAGGAAAGATTCAGGTATCTGAACACCACACAAACCCAAGCCACACAACCTTGCTTATTTCACTTTGTCTTTATTCATCACTCCATGTTTCCATGGCTTTTCATGTTCACAGTTCCTTCCACATCACCTTTACCAATTCCTTTATCAGGTGATCATCCATTGGACAATTAATTGACCTGGGAACATTTCTCTTCCACCTGCGATTTCATTAATAATTGATGCTTTTCTTGATCAGATAATTACATATATTTCAGCACTAAGGTCTCCTCAGTTTTTCTGCTTTTTGTGCAGATATGAATTTAGTTTATTTGAAAAGTAAAGTAGGTTATGCTCAACACATTGAAAATCATCTGTTCAGCTTTCTGGAGTAAATTCTTTTTTGACAGGCAGAGTTAGACAGTGAAAGAGAGAGACAGAGAGAAAGGTCTTCCTTCCGTTGGTTCACCCCTCAAATGGCCGCTACAGCCGACACACTGCACTGATCCGAAGCCAGGAGCCAGGTGCTTCCTCCTGGTATCCTATGAGGGTGCAAGGCCCAAGCACTTGGGCCATCCTCCACTGCCTTCCCGGGGCACAGTAGAGAGCTGGACAGGAAGAGGAGCAACCGGGACAGAATCCGTTGCCCTGACCAGGACTAGAACCTGGGCTGCCGGCGCTGCAGGTGGAGGATTAGCCAACTGAACCACGGCACCAGCTGGAGTAAATTTTTTCTAATATGTTTTGTTAAATAAACAACTTTACACATAAAAATACAACATAAATTATGGTACAATTCAAAATTCCTATGGCTTGAAAAAGTAATCTTTTCAACAACTTCAAAAATATGTTAGTATAAATTTACATTTCAATAGTGTTATGCACATTTCAATAAAAATATCTTTTTTTCATGATATAACTGCTTATTTAAATATTGTGGATGACTTCAAGTTTAATTCTTATGTACACATCCATTATTACCTGATTAATTTTTTTCTGCATTACTTGCTTACTTTGAAACCTTCACAGCGGGCCGGCGCCGCAGCTCACTAGGCTAATCCTCCACCTTGCAGCGCCGGCACACCGGGTTCTAGTCCCGGTTGGGGCACCGGATTCTGTCCCGGTTGCCCCTCTTCCAGGCCAGTTCTCTGCTGTGGCCAGGGAGTGCAATGGAGGATGGCCCAGGTGCTTGGGCCCTGCACCCCATGGGAGACCAGGATAGGTACCTGGCTCCTGGCTTCAGATCAGCGCGGTGCGCCAGCCATGGCGGCCATTGGAGGGTGAACCAGCGGCAAAGGAAGACCTTTCTCTCTGTCTCTCTCTCTCTCTCTCTCTCTCACTGTCCACTCTGCCAGTCCAAAAAAAAAAAAAAAAAAAAACTTCCTAGCAATAACTTATCTGAAAAAAAACACACTTTATTTCTAAGTTGTTAAATGAAATAAATTTTATAGTCTTATATGAAATAATATTTACAATTAAGCTAATCCCACAGTTCTCACTGAGAAATGATTATTTAACATTTTAATTAATATAAACAATATTACAATATTACATATTTATGGTTTGTGTGTGTTGATTATAGTCTTCATTTTTTTTTAATTTTAATGAATAAAGACAACAGATTTCATGTATTTCATAGATACAATTCTAAGAAGATAACCACACTAACATCCTTCCTACCTTCCTCCCTCAATTCCCCTCTCCTTTTTTTTTTTCTCTGTAATTTTCACAATAACATACTTTTACTTTATAATTGCAGGCTTAATGTAATACTAACCATATGTGAACATTGTTGAAACAAGTAGAAAGTATCTCTGTTCCACAGGGATACAGACAACAACAACATTCAAAACATATCAATTTCAATTTCATTTTTACTTTTTTTTTGTATTCTAGGTTAAATACCACATATCAGAGAAGACATATGATACTTGTTTTTTTTTTTAAAAAAAAGATTTATTTTGCTTATTTGAAAGTCAGAGTTACACAGAGGAGAGGCAGAGAGAGAGAGAGAGGGTCTTCCATCTGATGGTTCACTCCCCAGATGGCCGCAATGGCTGGAGCTGCACTGATCCAAAGCCAGGAGCCAGGAGCCTCCTCGAGGTCTCCCATGTGGGTGCAGGGGCCCAAGGACTTGGGCCATCTTCCACTGCTATTCCAGGCCACAGCAGAGAGTTGGACCAGAAGAAGAGCAGCCAGGACCAGAATCGGCGCCCCTATGGGATGCCGGCAATTCAGGCCAGGGCGTTAACCCACTGCACCACAGCGCTGGCCCCGATATTTGTCTTTTAAGGAATTACTTCTTTCACTAAGCATAATGCTCTCCAGTTGCATTCATTTTATGAGAAAAGACAGGACTTTATTCTTTTCATGACTAAGTAGTATTCTGTCATATATATATGTATATATGTGTGTGTGTGTGTGTGTGTGTGTGTATATATATAACATTTTCTTTTTCTAGTCAGCCTTTAAAAATGTAGAGACAATGGAGACCCATCCATACACTTCCATACAGAGGTTCGGCTAATAGAATCTTCGGTTACACAAAGTAAGTTTGACAGAGTGGAGGACAACTAGACACGTGGCAGTAGTATGAGAAGAGGATAATAACAAAAGGAGAAGAGGCTGAGAGTCCTCACCTGGTTGCAGACAGGCTTGTACTTGAGCCCTGGCTTGTTCAGAATCATCTCCAGCTGCCTGCGGTTGAAGTTGGATACCCCGATGGACTTGGCCAATCCTGCATCTTTGCATTTCTCCATGGCCTGAGAGGAAAGATTGTGAAGAAATATTTCCACAATTGGCTAAGCCAGTATAAATGCATAACACAGTTAAAAGGAACATTGTCAAGAAATTACAGTGAGGCTAGTGGGCACTGACTGACCAAAAGAGAAAAGCTACTAAAGAAAATCAGCAACAAGAAAAACAATTCCTGTGTCCTCCTTAGAAAACAAGAGACATTATTGTACATGGGAGGCAAAATATGCCTGACATCATTGCCCCCAGTTATCTCTGTTATGTCCCAGTATTACCTTCCTCTCGCTCCACTACAGTGCATCAACACTTGTTGGTGACATAAATCTCAAGACCCAAAGTTGCATAACTCATTCTCACAAATTGAAATGTGATCTGATGCTCCCACTTCTGACTTCCTGTTTACTCTCTCCTGGGAGTACTCACCTCCCAAGTGGCACAGATATCCACTGTGTCAAATATTGTCTTTCCATGTTCATCTGTTGGAATAATCTCCTCCCCAGGCTGGAATAGAAGCAGTTATTTTTCTTGGTTTTATCAAATTCAGATATTTACCCATAGCAAAACATTGAAGTATATTTATGGAGATAGCAATAAATTTTCATGAAATAATGGAACAACTTCCCATATACTTATGTTTGCAAAATATGCTGCATACGAATCTGCAAGGAATGTCATTAGACTACAAACTTCCTCTCTCTCTTATAGTCACTGCACATGTTAATAAATACTATTTTCCAGATCATAATAGGGTCCCATAGATTTGTGTTACTTTGTGTTTCTCTGTTCTTTCCTGTTCAAAGATGTCTGTCATTCACTGGGCAAGTCAACAGTTACCTGTCTTGACCTCCACAAATAGTGGATGTTCCTCATCTTCCCCCAAAACCTTTTGTTCCATGGGCAGGCACTTGATTCAGAGTAGGAAATAAAATTTTTAATAATATTTTTAATTCTAAAAGATGCAAAGAAACTATCAGATATTAATGAACATGAGAAAATAATTGCCCCATGACCATATAAGCTACCACAAAAAGGCTCAGACAAAACCAACAAAAATTAGGTTAATAGAGAGGAAAATGAATGCTCTAAATACAGGCAGTTTCTAAGGTTACTTCAAATGTGTATATCACTCATGGCTTAGCTTCCCCTTTTATATAATCCAATAAACTATATTGCTTTACTTGCTTTAGGCAGTTTCTATAACTTAGAAACTGTTTCTAAAATTTATATCAGAAGCCTGCTTTGTGCCACAGAAGATTAAAGTGTTCCAATGATGTCAGGATCCCATATTGCAGCACCAAAGTCCTGAGTCCTAATTGCTGCACTTCCTATCCAGCTCCCTGCTAATATGCCCAGGAAGGCAGCAGAAAATGGTCCAAATACTTAGACCTCTGCCACTCAATGAGAGTCTCTGATGGAATTCTTGGCTTCAGCCTATCCCTGTCCTGGCCTTCATGACCATTCGATGAGTGAACCAGAAGGACGATCTGTCTTTCTATTTCTGTCTCTCCCCTCTCCCTCTGCCTTTCAAATAAATAAAATAAATCTTTAAAAATAAATAAGTAAATTTATATCAGTGACATTTAATCATTCATGAAAATGATGGTCATGCTAACAGCTATAGTAAAATGCATTTGATGATGTTAGTTGCCTACCTTCAGAGCTGTTGGGAAATGAATAATGTAGAGATCAACATAGTCCAACTGAAGTTTTTTCAGTGACTCTTCCAAGCCTGGTCGGACCAGCTCTGGTCGATGAAAAGTGCACCAAAGCTGCAATGTTAAGCATTTAATTTGTCATAAATTAATATGTTAGCCAAAAGTCTTGGTTTTCTTCACCTAATACTGAGATATTTTCCCTTGGTTAGAAGCTGATGAACACTGAAGGAAAATTCTCCCTTCCAGTTTGGATTTCCTGTGACTTGACCCAACCACATGACCTCTCTCACTTGTTTAGCTATTACTCATTAATCTGTCAGTGCATGGAAGGTAATTACATCAGAGACACAAATTTTATCAAGTAATAATAATGATCAACATTTGTGTTATGTTTGACAGTTTACAAAGTAATTTAATGGTCTGATCCTTCTAACCATTAAATGAAATGCTAAAGAATAAATACCTATTTTTTTTTTGACAGGCAGAGTGGATAGTGAGAGAGAGAGAGACAGAGAGAAAGGTCTTCCTTTTGCCGTTGGTTCACCCTCCAATGGCCGCCACGGCTGGCGCGCTGCTGCCGGCACACCGCGCTGATCTGATGGCAGGAGCCAGTTGCCTCTCCTGGTCTCCCATGGGGTGCAGGGCCCAAGCACTTGGGCCATCCTCCACTGCCTTCCTGGGCCACAGCAGAGAGCTGGCCTGGAAGAGGGGCAACCGGGAAAGAATCCGGCGCCCCGACTGGGACTAAAACCCGGTGTGCTGGCGCCGCTAGGTGGAGGATTAGCCTATTGAGCCACGGCGCCTGCCAGAATAAATATCTATTTTATTTGCATAATTATCAGAAAAATATTTTGAACATTGGAATATTGCTGTGGTGTAATGGATTAAGCCACCACTTGCAATGCCAGCATCCCATATTGAAGTGCTGTATTGAGGCCCGGCTGCTCCACTTAGAATCTTCTTTCTTGCTAATGTACCTCGGAAGGCCACAGAAATGGCCCAAATAATTGGCCCCTGCCACCCACATACGAGATTAGATTGTAGTTCCTAACTCCTCACTTCATCTTGGCCCAGACCAAGCAGGTACAGCCATGAGAGCATGAAGCAGCAGATGGATGAGTTTCTTTATCTTTCCCTCTGTCTCTCTATAGCTCTGCCTTTCAAATAAATAAATAACTCTTTGTAAAAAGTGTCAACTCATATTTACAATAATAAGAAATTTTAAAATGTCACCCAAGATATCAGGAATATCATTTTTAGCTCATAGATCTCTCTGATTCCACAATCCATGCTGAATCACATTGCTTGGAGTTGGCATTCAATAAATCAAAGGAACTTTATTTTAAAAATATATAAATTTGAACATAGCAATAATAAGAAAGCCAGCACCTTTGTCTCTTTGTGATACAGGAAAATGCATGTTTATGGTTTTACTAATAGGAGCAATTACTCAATACCTATGAAGAATATCAAGTAATTATCATGCCTACACAACATTTAATTAACCAGCTCCCCTGCACATCTTCTACACTCTACCTTTGAAGTGTAGAATATGTCTTCTCTCTTCACAGTGCCTTCTGCAATCTTGCTTCGGATGGCCAGACCTACTTCCTCTTCATTGTTGTACAAATAAGCAGAATCAATATGGCGGAACCCAGCATCAATAGCTATTTTAGTGGATTCCAAAGCTTTACTCTTAGGGACCTGAAGAAGGAGTTGAAATTATTATTTGTAGATGCATGTGATTGAAAGTAACTAAGATATAATTAGTGACCTTTTAAGAATCCATTTTTCCTCATCTCTTGGGATAATTCTGCATTTGCACTCTAAGGGGATGAGTCCTTCCCAGATCCCCTGATTTCCCTGAATTAACAGCAAGAGTTAGGCATCTCAGGCACCTCTTCACATTAGGCCACCCCATTGATTAATGGCATCAAAGTCTTCAGGAAAAAAGCCAGGTTTATTGCTTTGCTAGAAAGATAATGCAAAAGATAATCATGGTTGTTAATTAATCAGTGAACTTGCAAAGGAAAGTTACACAGGGTAAAAGTGAATGGGATGAAATATGGAAGAAAAACACTACAAGCTTTTATGAATCCTCTGCCAGTGAGATAAACAAAACATTTTTAAATTGCCTGAGCTGAATTTAAGAACATAATGGGAAACTTATCAGCAAGGAATGCTGAATGTGTAAAGTCTCCACTCCTAAGACTTTTTAATTACATAGACCCCCCTCTGCTGGCCCACACCATATTTCAGATTCTCAAATAAAAGCAGGGATACACACTCCACTTGTCAGCACAAGAAATTTAGCTACAGACACCATCCTCATATGATAGGAAATGGAGAACAAAGAATAGGAGTTTCCTGAAGTTAACCAGGAATATGTTTGAAAATACACAGCTCAATGGACAGTAGGGCACTATGTTCATTGTTTTCTACAGGACCATTGTGTCCACAAAAAATTTAAAAAATAAAGAAAAGAAGACTAAGTGCTGGCAAGGTTTATACTGTACTATAGAAATTTTACATGAAAAATTAATTGTGTCATGTAAGGGCTTATCATAGAATTGTCATTCCTAAAACAAAGGCATTTCCTCTATGCAAGATATACTTAGAATTCCATTTAAAATTACTGGTTTTCTCAAATTGGATAATGATTTGAAAGTGCATTTGTGAAACATCAAAGATGTAAGTCTAAGAAAAATTTTTCCACTTATTTTTAAAAAACTGAGAAGCTGAACTTTTCAATGAAATTACATGTAGGTAGTGATTCCATTTGCCCTTTTTTAATACCAATCCTCTGCATTCTTAGATGTGAGGGCACTCAGAGATTCACCAAGGCTGAAATATCACTAGTGTCCCTGATCCTTCCCCCACCTTCATGCCACTTTGCTCTGCAAACAAAATGAAATCGTTCACATGTCATCAAAATACTCATCAGTGATTTCCTTAAGTCTACCACAAGAATCAGGTGGAGCATCAGATTTGAAGTAAACAGTCTCATGTCATACAATCAAGTAGAGGATAATATCAGTGTGCAAAATTTCCTCTACTATGCTCGCTTTCATTCTGTACAACTTCCTTTAACACTTACTGTCAATGATCAATAATATAGCCCTGTTCCTATTATTTTCCAGTTTTCCTCTAACACGATGTTGTATTTGCCTTCAGGCAAGCATCCTAGAGGTTAGAGTAGTATATGGAAAAACTTACTGAGCCCATGTCCAGTAATTACTGTGTGGGTCTCAACGTTACCCCCGTCTCATAATAGCTTATTCCCTCCTCAAATGCTCTGCATTTCCTCTCTACTAACTTTTGAAACAACAACAACAACAAATTCTCTGGATTAGCCCTTATTGGAAGGAGGAAATATTTCTTGGATTATAGTGTAAAGTGGAGAAACCAGTTCAACTGCAAGCAAGCTGACAGGCACTCTTCTTGAGTGCTGACACTGATCTCTTCCACTCAAGTGCGAAACAACTGAAACAGGATGCAAATCAGTATTCCAAATCACCAGCAGAGGATCACAGGATCTGATTGTCATGAGGAACAAAATGAGACTAAATTCAGTCTTCTCTGAGGAACAGCTCCAGCCCAGTGAATCGGAAAAACAAAAAGTGAAACCTTGAGAATCACAGCCTGGGTCTCCTTTCACCCTTCCTAAGTCTATTTTCTTTTGCCCCCTCAATGACAAAGCAACACAAGTTACCTCTTCAGGTGCATAGGTGCCAAATCCCAGTACAGGGATGAAGTGACCATCACTTAACGCCACACGCTGATATTTGGGATCCATTGCCTTTCACTCCTCTGGCCAAGCACACTCTGTTTCTTCTGGCTTCACAGGGTACACAAATAACAGGAAGTCTACACTCAAATTCCTGTCTAATTTTAGCAACGTAGGGGAGGAGTAAATTTAAAGCAGTATTCCACATTTAAGAAGAGATCAGAATCCTGTTCATTTACTTTATATGAAACAGAATTTTTAGGTTAATCACTTACAAAATCAGATGTATTTAATTTTCTCTTTATAAACTCCCACCTGCTATTTTTTAAGTATTAGAAGCTACTGGTTGAATAGTTATTGATGATGTGTTAAGTTACAACCCTTTAAATATCTAGTATCTGTTTTTCTTATTTTTTATGTTTTCAAGTTGAAGTCTGTCCTTGATCACACTTTGCTTGAGACAACTAATTATCTTACACTACATACACAAACACACACACAGAATCCAAGCAACAAGTATGGAGCATTTTCTCAAATATTGACCCTCAATAAAACTTCAGGAGTTTAACTGAGGGAAAATTAGCATTTCAACTTCCCCTTTGACAAAATCTTTCCTGTAACTTCATTCTTTAGTGTTGCAATAGGAATGTGCAACCCTGATGAGCTAAAATCCTGGGAACACTCCTGAAACACATGCCTTAAAAACTGCAGAGTGGCTGCTGCTGAGTGGAGGGCGAAAGGTTAATGATGTCTAACGGCATTGTGTAAAAGGAAACCAGAGGCCTAGATCCACAGTATCTTTTCACATGTTATGTAACTTTTAGAAAAATATCATTAAGCCCAAAATGAAAGTGTATATTTTATGTTTTATGGCCTTGTTCAATAATAATGATTTAAAAAAGAATATGTCAAAGTGTGTGATTTGTAATAATTGTCCAAACTGAAATTTGTCGATAAAATGGGCCTTATGAAGTAATTTTAAAGGGAATCTACAAATTTTGTATAAATTCATAATTTTTGATTTGTATATAAGAGGATTTGTGTCCTAAGTGAAGAGTAGAGCATATGTTATAATCAGTAATAGTATGTTGTCAAACAGCATGCCTTATAAAGAAGGTGATATGTCACATTTTAAGGGCATTATTTCTGGAAACTAGGTCTAGGCATAGTTATTAAGTGCTTTATCTATGCCTTTCAAATCTCCAATGTTTGTCACTTTTCTTATCTGAAAAAGAATATTTCTGATTTAAAACTAGAGCTCTGCCACTGGCAATTTGAATAGAACTGAATATCCTGACAGGTCCTCAGGACTCCAACTATGCCAGAAACTGCCCATGCCCTACACCACAGGGTCACTTGGCATCCCTCAGTACTCTTTGCTGCTTTCCAATCATAACTAAACTGTTAATCCTAACCAGTGAAATACAGCTTTGAATTCTGATATATCCTGAATTAGCATTGACTTTCACTATCTTGCTCATCTTCCTTAAACTCAAAATACTTGGTTATTCTTTGGATTTAAACCTTGTATTAATCCTGGTCTCCAAGCCCATCTACTTGTACATAATACAGTATGGCTATGTCTCTGCTTGAATGGCTTTTTTTTTTATTTAATGAGCATAAATTTCCAAAGTACAGCTTATGGATTACAATAGCTTCCTTCCCCCCCATAACTTCCCTCCCACCCACAACACTCCCCTCTCCCGCTCCCTCTCCCCTTCCCCTTCACATCACGATTAATTTTCAATTATCTTTATATACAGAAGATCAATTTAGCGTATGTTAAGTAAAGATTTCCACATTTTGCTCCCACACAGAAACACAAAGTGTAAAATACTATTTGAGTACTAGTTATAGCATTAATTAAACACCTAAGAGTAATTGTGTATTAATTACAGAGTTCAACCAATAGTTTTAAGTAGAATATAAAATGCATCTTTTGTATTGTTGTGGCTTCCCCCCCGACCTCCCTCCCTCCCGTGGCCCTCCCCTCACCCACTCCCTCTCCCATTCCGCCCTTTATCACGTTTCATTTTCAATTACCTACATATACTGAAGATCAACTTAGTATATACTAAGCAGGGATTTCAACTGGTTGCACTCACACAACTGAACCAGGTATAGGGTATTGTTCGACTAGTAGTGTTGTTTTTGAGTTTCATAGTTAAACATATTAAGGACAGAGATCCTGCGTGGGGAGCATGAACCCAGTGACTCCCGTTGTTGATTTAACAATTGGCACTCTTATTTATGATGTCAGCAATCACCCGAGACTCTTGCTATGAGCTGTCTAGGCTATGGAAGCCCCTTGAGTTCACCAACTCTGAATTTGTTTAGTCAAGGCCATATCACAGTGGAGGTTCCTTCCTCCCTTCAGAGAAAGGCGCCTCTCTCCTTGATGGCCTGATCCTTCTGCTGGGGTGTTGTTCACCAGGATCCTTCATTTAGATTGTTTTTTGCCACCATGTCATGGCTTTCCATGCCTGCGAGACTCTCATGGACCTTTTAGTCAGATCCGAATGTCCCAAGGGTTGATTCTGAGGCAGGAGTGCTGTTTTGGGTATTTGCCATTCTATGAGTCTGCTGTGTGTTCTGCTTCCCATGTTCTCTCACTTTTGATTCTATCTTTCATTATTTGCTTACACTGGTCTTATTTGTGTAATCTCTTCGACACTTACCCTATCTTTTTGATCAGTTGTGTATTTATATTTATCACTTTACCAAGTGTGCTGGCATTGGTACCTGCCTACTTGGTAAGGTTGAGTTGAAATCCCCTGGCACATTTCTAGTTCCACCATTGGAGGTAGGTCTGAGTGAGTATGTGCCGTCCTATATATCTCCTCCCTCTCTTATTGAATGGCTTTTACATAGATGAGAACACCTTTGTTGCACTCCCACTGTGCTGCAAAATTCGGTATATTATTTCTGCAACCTTCAATAATGAATTTCTGCTTGTCTTCCATTATTCATTTGACTC